CCTGTTGTCCGTCTTATCCACCATTTTGTCCTAGACTGACCCTATTAGACTTCAATATTTTTGAGGATTTATTAATCTTTCTATTTTGCTTTCAAGGAGGTGGCATGGTATGTAGTGGATAGAGAAGTACCATCAAAGCCAGGAAGACCTGGATTCAAGTTCCATCTCTGACCCATATTGGCTATGTAGCCTTGTCAACTCACAACTTTACCCTGAAACTATAAGTTGTAGAAAAGAGACTGACCTATTGATAGAAGGAGATTTTTTCACCTAGGAGTTCTCTTATCAAGTTAATCATAGGTCAGGTCCCTATCTCCCACCTGTCACAGCCTCTAACGGGTACTCAGTAAATGTTGACTAATGAATTTTTGTTAGACTATGTTGCATTTGGGCTTTGGAATTAGAGTTCCTGAGTTTAAATTCTGACTGTGCCTTCCATTTTTAATGTGTAACATCAGACAAGTCACTTAAAGTCTCTGGTGCTCATTTTCCTATAATGGTAGAAAGAAAGAAAGAGAAAGAAAGAAAGAAAGAAAAGAAAAGAAAAGAAAAATAGCTGATAGAGGGATGGATAGATGGATAGACAAATGGATGGACAGACAAAGTGTTTATTAAGCTCTATGTGTCGGACACTGTGCTAACTACTGGGCATACAAATACAAATAAACGAGATAACCCTTGACTTCAAGCAACTTTTAATGGGGGCTGGGCTAAATGCTCTGTCTAGCCCTTTACCACTCTAAATCAAAGCTTCCAAAATGAAGTAGAATCCTCCTTCCCAGGTATTCCATACAGTTTACAAAATTCTTTGCTCCAAAATAACTCTTCTTCAGAAGAACTTTCTCACGGCCTCTATGTGGGTTAGGCACAGGGGAGAGTATTAACAGCCACATTTTACATGTGAGGAAACCAAGTCTGATGATGGTGAAATGACTTCCTCAGGGTTGCATACATAAGTAGCAAGTGCTAGAGAAAGGATCTGAACAGAGTTCTCCCCCGATCTGAAGCTCAGCACATTTTATATGATAATACTCAGGCTAGCCTAGATACATTGCTTGATCCAACAGCTCATCCTGGTCTTAGAGACCAGTCATGTCCAAAGAAATCAGTGGTTCTTAATCTCTTTTCTGTCATGGATCCCTTTGGCGGGCTGGTGAAGCCAATGGGCCCCTTCTCAGAATCATGTTTTAAGATGTGTAAAATAAAACATATATAGGCTTACAAAGGAAAGCAGTTTTATCGAAATACAGTCATCAAGACTTATTTGTTAAAAAACAACACCCCACAAATTCAGGGACCCCAGGCTAAGAAGAACTTCTAGTGTAAATGTTGGTTTTGGCAAGCCCTCCAAAGGGTCACAGGCGAGTGATAGTCCCCCTACCAGCCCCCCACCCTCTCTCACCCTCTGAAGGAAGAGCTGAGCCCTGAAGTGTGTCCAGGTTCATCGGGGAGCAGATGGAGCCCAAGTGGGTCCTACCTCAGACTTCTCTCCTGGCAGCCTATCTCAGCTTTTGGCTTCTTGCTCACACATTCCTATGAGCTCGCTGCCAGCTCATTTCCCCAAAGGGTTGCTCAGTGGTGAGAAACTAGGGATTCTTCCTTATCTTGCCAGAACAGGATGTGTCCTGTAAACTGTGTCCAAAAGGTTTCAAAGCCTCACAGATGATGAGCTAGCAAGTTTGGTCACGAGGCAAAGCAATCTCACAGTACCTGACTACAGTATTTTCATTTGGCCCCCAATAAACACACGGCGGCTATTCTCTCCTTCCCCCTCCCCGTCCCCCCCTGTTGGCATCTCAGCACGTCCATGGCCTTTACTAGTTGGGATGTGAGTCCAAAGGGAGATCCCCGAGCACTGGGCAGCCAAGGTGAAAGTGGGAAATGATACGGGTGAATTCCTGCCATGTGGGGAATGTTTCCGGCAATTCTCTCCCATCCTCTGTTTTTTATTTGTTGATTAGAAATCAGTGTTGGTAGAACTTTTACTGTTCTATCCTTAGCATCTCTCTGGACTGGAGGGCCTGATTCAGCATTCACTGGAGGGGCCCTTAGAACATAGAGTGTCCTGGTTGGAAGGGATTTTAGAATGCAAACTATCAGAGTCACAAGGGAACTTCGAACATAGAATGTCAGCACTGGAAGGGTCCTTAAGACAGGGCTTCTTAACTTTTCCTATGTCATGAAACCCCTTTGCGATCTGGGGCAGGCTATAGACCCCTTCTTGGAATTATTTTTTAAAAATGCTTAATTGAAAGAAATGTTAAATTTCAGTTAGAGGCTAGTGAAAATAAAGATAGGATTTTTTTTTCCTTGTTCAAGTTCACAGATTCCTCTGAAGTCTTTCAATAGACACTGGGCTCCAGTTAGGAATCCCTTCCATAAAATGTCAAAGCTAGTCTCTCCCTGTGTTGATTTCTCACCACGTCATCCTTTCCATACCTCATCGATCTATATTCATTGGCATATTGTCTCCACCATCAGACAAGGTCAAGGACTGTTTTTTCCTACTTTGTCTCTCACGCATTTAGCACGCCGCATGGCATACAGTAGGCACTTCGTGAATGCTATAACTGACTGACCTCAGAAACCAGAATATTAGAGCTGGGTCCCTTAGGAACATTCAAGAGTTGGGAATCTGAGGCCTTGAGGACACATGTGGCCCTCTGGGTTCTTAAGTACAGCCCTTTGACTGAATCCAAACTTCAAAGTTGGAGGTTCCCCATTCCTGTATCTAGTCTAAGACCCCTTATTGTTATTATAGATAGTCAAAACTAAAGTTAAGAAAGGTTTGAAACCTAGGTCTTCCTTAATATAGCTGACATTTCTGGAAGGGGAATACATTGCCTAAAAATGAGTCAGAAGACTCAGGAAGCCAGGAACCCAAAAAAATCCCTTCACCTCTCACTTCTCTGGGACCTAGTTTCTGTAACTTTAAGATAAGGGTGTTGAGACAAAGGTTTCTTTCACTCTAAAATTTCTGTATGTGTAAGAGTATTCATAATAGGGTTTGCAAGTCTTTTTTTGTTCTGAGAATTTGTAAGTACTTTCTCCAAGTTATGCCATTAATGCTCAGAAGGGAAGGCAATATGGCCTTGGTGTGAGGGCTGGGATGAGGCTTGCTATACTCTTTACTTGCTATGTAATCGTGGGCTAATCGCTTCCCTTCTTTGGGCTCAGTTTTCCCATCTGTAAAATGGGCACAATATTTGCACAGCTTCGCTCATAGGGTTGTTGTGAGGTTGGTAAAATGGAAAGTGCTAAGAAGTGTAAGCTGACAATAGTGGAAAAGAATGTATACTACCAACCCAGTTCCATAGATAGAATGCTATAGACATTTAGATGCCAAGAAAAACCTAAGGGGATCATTTTTATCCTGTATCACTGGGAAAGAAGGACCACAAAACCAAGCTTACCTGCCTGCCTTTCCCCTCCAGTCACTGATAAGGGGTGTGAAGATTCACAAGAGAAACTCTAATGAGGAAGTCATCTACCAACGTCTCTGCACCAGGTACTGAATAGGCTCCCTACCAGCCTTTGGAACTTTTAACGAGTGGTTGGCAAGGTTTTAATGGACACTGTACAGGAAAATCTTTGTGGTGTTTGCTATGGCTGAGGACTTAGGATGCAATAAAACATGGTCGGCTAACCAAATGGTGGCCTGGTGTGCTTTCCTTGGGGGAAAAGTAAATAAATAAAAATTCAACTGAGCTTCTAGCAACCAGTATCTGTGGGATGTTTGTGTTTCTGTGTGGGTGTGGGTGTGGGTATGGCTGGAGGGAGTGTTGTTAGAAAGGTCTTAGCCTATCCCTTTCTCTAGTTCTCTTCCCATCACCCCTCCTTCCCAGGCAAGTCATAAGAGTTTTTTCCTTCCCTCCTGCCTTCTCTCCTTTCCTCCTTCACTCCTTCCCTTCTTCCCTCCTCCTTCCCTTTCTTCTTTTTTTCCTCCTTCTCTCCCTCCTTCCCTTTCTTCTTTTCTCTCTCCTTCCTTTCCTCTTTCCCTCCTTTCTTCCTTTCTGATGCTGGACACTCCCAGACTAATATTCCAACAGAATTCGGTGGCTCATCGTCTGTGTCATGTTCAGCCAGTTACCTTGCTTTATTTTGCTCTTCCAGTTAGAATAGAGCTGATCCACCTGCGAACAGCTAATTCTTCCACCCACACAGAACCCAATAATTCTGTGACCTTTGTCAGTGGTCTGCAGAGCTGATGCGATGGAACATTCCATTGAATCACAGGCTCATCCTTACATGACAGACCCATAGGCCCAGGGCTGAGAGCCTTCTGACTTCAGAGTTCTTCTAGTGCTTATGCTTGGCCAGTATGGTAGAATGGTATAATGCTAATTGATAATAATTGATGGCATAATGAGGTACCACAGGAAGACTAGAATGGAGGTTCTGCAATATACTGTACATGTACAATTATTTTTAAAATAAAAGTAACTGTCAATCATACAGTGCTTTATGGGCAGCTAGGTGGTGCCACAGTGCATAGAGTACCAGGCTTGGAGTCAGAAAGACTCATCTTCATGAGTTCAAGTCAGGCCTCAGACACTTACTAGCTATGTGACCCTGGGCAAGTCACTTAACCCTGTTTGCCTCAGTTTCCCCATCTGTAAAATGAGCTGGAGAAAGACATGGCCAACTACTCCAATATCTTTGTCAAGAAAACCCCCAAAATGGGGTCAGAAAGAGTCTGACATGACTGAAATGACTGAACCAAATGAACAAATACAGTGCTTTATACCAATAGTGTCCAAGTTAAATAAAAACAAAGGGTCATTAACTTATGTGTAAGAATCCCTGGTGCATATTGACTTAGCTTTAAAATGTAATAGCATCTGTTTCAATGTATTTTTATTTGTTTTGTTAAATATTTCTCAATTATGTTTTAATTTGGCTTGGCCGCGTGTAAGCGTGTTGTGGGCCATGTATTTGACACTTCTCACTCTGGTGTACAAAATACTTCATATCTCTATTATCTCCTTTGATCCTCATAGCTTTCCAGTGACACGTGTTAGTACTGACGTCTGGTAATTTGTGAAGCCATCAGTGTGGATCTTCCCTCCAACAGAGCATATGATAACCCAACCACACCTTCTCACTCTTTGAGACTTTTGTCCAGGTACTCTTATGGATCACTATTGATTTCATCCAGAATGCTGAAGTCTGTCCTCTAGATCTCATGACCTGGTATAGACACCAATAGAGTACATGGGCTGTCCACATGACCAGCCCACTCCCTTTCCCAGTGGTACATTTTTCTGATGGTAGTTTTTCCACCTCTTTTCCTGCATAATTCTTCATTGAAAATATGCCACAGCTATCCACGCAAACCATTTGTCTATCCAGTGTTTGTTAAGTGACCTGAAAACTTTAATTCTTTGAAGGATATGGTATTTTGGCATATATATGTATATACACATGCACATTCACATAACACGTACACATATATGTGCACATATATCTCTTTCTGTTATCTATGGATCTATACACCTATTCATTGATTGATCTACACATCAAAACCCAATGACTCATGCAAGAAAACCATGAAGTTGAAGAATGCCCACTGTCTAGACTCAAGTAATGAATGGCAGCCCACGGAACTGGCCTATTGATACATATATTTTAGACAGTTATTAGAGATGGTCCAAGACCTGAACCCACAACTGAATTGGAAGAAGAGAAAGGCTAGATTGTCTCAGGGAAATTATGCAGGGCCCGTAACAAACTTGAGTTTCTTCCTGAAACAAAGACCCATCTTTGGGTCAGTATTTTGGGCCAGTAGTCTTCCAGTTATACTATTTGGATGAGAAGTACAGACATTATTATCTCCTTCTTTTAGACAAGGAAGTTGACATCCAGAGAGGCTAAATAAATTATATGAGTAAAAAGCACCATACCAGAGACTGGATTAGATAATGAGGTGGCGCAATGGATAGCACACTAATCCTGGAATCAGAAAGACCTGAATTCACATCCAGCCTCAGATACTTACTAGTGATCTTGGGAAAGTTATTTAATGACTCTTGGCCTCAGTTTACTCACCTTTAAAATGGGGATAATAATAGCCCCTAACTCCCAGGATTGTAGTCAAGATAAAATATTTGCAAAGTGTTTTGCAAACCTTAAAATGCTGTAGAAATGCTAGCTATTATTATTATTATTATTACTAGGCCCTCTGATTCCAAATGCAGTGCTCCTTCAATGGCAATACCAGAAGCATTATTAAACACCAGCTATGTGCTACGTACTCTGTTTTTGTGACAGTTTGCAGTTTATAATGAAAGGGGTTTCCTAAAAATATGCCTTTGAAGTGAGATTGAACAAGTACAATGATCCCCAACTTCTAGTGGAGAAAAATGAGGCTTAGACAGGGGAAATACCTAGCTCAAGATCAAAGGGAGGGTTTTAAACCCAAGCCTTCCTGATCCAAATCAGGTTAGTTGGTAGCAAAGCAAAAACTCGAATTCAATACTTCCCCCCCCCACAATTGATAACATGAATTATATATCTTTTTAAATTTGTGAAGTGCTTTACTGACATCATCTTATTTGATCTTCACAATAATCATGTAAGGTAGGAAGGAAGGGTGGAAGGCAGGCAGGCAGGAAGGATGGAAGGATGGAAGGAATGGAGGAAGGGAGTGGGGAAGGAGGGAGGGAGGGAGGAAGGAAGGAAGGATGGAAGGATGGAAATGAGCATTCATTAAATGCCTAAATCACTGATTGGGCATTGCCTCAGTCAAACTGAGACCTGCTAAGGACCTTAGCTTAAAAAGGCCGATGTCTCCCACTGCACCTAGGGCCATCTCCAGTGTCCTGATCTATATCTTGTCACTGGACCCAGATGGCTGTGGAGGAGAGAGTGAGGCTGGTGACTTTGCACAGCCCTGCCTCCCTTAAACCCAATTCACTTGCATGTCCCGGCATCCCCTCCACGATGGCGGTCCTCTGTAAGAGCAAAGGACAAACGACATCAGTCAACACAACCGTGTGTCAGGCACTGTGCCAAGAACTTTACAAATATTATCTCATTTTATCCTCACAACAGCTGTAGGAGGTGAATGCTATCACTTCCCCCATTTTACAGTTAAGGAAACTGAGGCAGACAAAGGTGAAGTGACTTGCCCGAGGTCACACAGCTAGTACGTGTGCGAGGCTAGATTTGAATTCAGGTCTTCTGGACTCCAGACCCAGTGCTCCATCCATTGACTGACTGACTGGGTGCCATTACTAAGATAAAGACACTGAGTCTATATTATTTCAGACAGAGATACAATAGGGTGGCTAGTGGCACAGGATAGCCACGATGGAGCTCTAGGCTTGGAGTCAAGAAGACTCCTCTTCCTGAGTTCAAATCCTGCCTCAGACACTTACTAGTTGTGTGACCCAAGTTACTTCACCCTATTTGCCTCAGTTTCATCATCTGTAGAGAGAGCTGGAGAAGGCGAATGCAAACCGTTGTAGTATCTTTGCCAAGAAAGCCCCAAATGAGGTCAGGAAGAGTAGGACACGACTGAAATGACCCAACAACCAAAGATACGACAAATCCATATTATTACAGATAGAGAAACTGAGGCTCGGAAAGTTTCAATGACTTGCCCAAGGTCACCTAGCTGCTAAATGCCTGGGGTGGAATTCAAACCCAAGCCTTCCTAATTGAAATCAGCTACATACACCATGTTGCCTCTTAGTTCTCTTATAGGCCAAAATGTCTTTTGTTCTCTTTGAACCTAATCAACTGAGTCCTAAAACCAGGAATAAATGAACTTCTTTCTCGGTTCTTTCTTTCCTGGGAACAGAACTGGTTTTTTCCATAAGCTGATGGGTGTGCTGAGGCCAGTAATGGAGAATGGAGGTAGTATGTTTTTATTTGCACTTGGAGAATGTGTAAGATTGGCAGCCTCTCCAGTGTCCCTTGCTCCCAACACCCAGTGTAAACACATAATCTGCTCTATGGATTAGCCTTTCCAGAACACAGACTAGAAAAGAAACGGGTTGGGGGTTGGGGGATGGTGAAATCCTTCTCTGTTCCTCCTATCCACAGTGGGGAAGCTCCTTTTGTGCCCTGACCCCTTGAAGAAAGAAATCCTTGGGTGTTTGTCTGATTGCCTAGCATCACCCTCCCTTTGTGCTCTGACACATACCATTTGCCAGTGGGCACGGTGTGATTAATTGGGCACCAGGCACATCTAAGTGCATGAAGTTCAAGGCTGGCCTGCCTTCAAGGCTCATTATCAGCTCTAATTGCTGGTTAGAATTTCACAAATCTTCTGCCCTATGCAGGTGGATGACAATATGGAAAGGTCACACCTAAAGGCTTATTAACTCTGTGGTGTGAAAGGTAAGGCCATCTGGTCACCATTTGACAATTTAAGTGGTAATTACACCATTTGGCCTGTGAATTGCTGTGAGCTGCTGTTTTGAACTGTGGCAGCCCTAAATTTAAAAAAAAAAAATAGTGCCAAACAGGCAAGTGTTTGAAACTTGTTTCTGGAACTCAGATACTAGCATCTGTTTCTTTCTTTTTCTTTCTTTCTTTCTTTCTTTCTTTCTTTCTTTCTTTCTTTCTTTCTTTCTTTCTTTCTTTCTTTCTTTCTTTCTTTCTTTCTTTCTTTCTTTCTTTCTTTCTTTCTTTCTTTCTTCCTTCCTCCTTCCTTCCTTCCTTCCTTCCTTCCTTCCTTCCTTCCTTCCTTCCTTCCTTCCTTCCTTCCTTCCTTCCTTCCTTCCTTCCTTCCTTCCTTCCTCTCTCTCTTTCTCTCTCTTTCTCTCTTTCTTTCTCTCTCTTTCTTTCTTTCTTTCTTTCTTTCTTTCTTTTTCTTTCTTTCTTTCTTTCTTTCTCTCTCTCTCTCTCTCTCTCCTCTCTCTTCTCTCTCTCTTTCTTTCTTTCTTTCTTTCTTTCCTCCTTCCTTCCTTCCTTCCTTCCTTCCTTCCTTCCTTCCTTCCTTCCTTCCTTCCTTCCTTCCTTCCTTCCTCCCTCCCTCCCTCCCTCTCTCTCTCTCTCTCTCTCTCTCTCTCTCTCTCTCTCTCTCTCTCTCTCTCTTTCTTTCTTTCTTCCTTGTTTATAAATGAATTGTACATCCCTTTATTATGATTATAAAGGTGACTGGAAGCCTGATACAATGCAAACCAGAGAACTGAAAAGTTAGGACACCTGGTTCCTACTTCTGGTTGTCACTAATTTGCTGTGTGACCATGGGTAAGTAATTTCATTTCTCAAGGCCTGAGGTTTCCGTAAAATGAGAAGATTGGAGTAGATCATGTCTGAGATCCCTTTCAGCTTGGATATCTTATATTCTAAGGGCTTTCCCAACTCTGACATTCTATGTCCTTTATTTATTCTATATTCTAAAGCATATATATAATATTTATTTATTTTATATTCTGTATATATTAATTCTATATTCTATGCCTTTCCAGATCTGACTGCCTACTTTCCTAGCTAGGACACTCTGTTCTAAGGTTTTTCCCATCTCTGAGTCTACATTCTATGACCTGCATAAAGATGCCACAGCCACCAATAGCCATAACCAATAACACCTGCTCAGTGAACTCCGGGAACCCAAGGAAGGAATGGAGGCAACTCGGTAAGAAATTCCATCGGTGCAATATGGAAGTGTTTAAGGCCAGCCAGCACCAGTCAGGGTAGCAGAGATCTGAACCTTTAAATTACCGCCATTCCCTGCCTGAGGGAAAAGTAAATAAACAATTCACAGCTGCATCACCTAAACACAGAAACACAGCTATCTCTTTGGGGCTGTGATTGCTGAACAAGTAATTAAGTGGGAAATGTGAGCCCTCAATGTCAGTGTGACATGATAAAGGTCTCAGGCTGTAAATTAACTGAACCCCAGAGAGACCCTGGGATTAACCCTTGCAGCCAGGAGAGGTGAGAGCAGTCTTATCAGCCCAAAGTGTCAGCTTCGTGGAAATGGGATGCAATATAGGCCGTGGAGCCAGCACTGTGAACTCACCCAGGCTGTTTTTATCTGATTATTTCAAAGCTCTGGAATTTGGATGACTTCCCTGTGGAGTCCTCACAAAGGCTCAAGGGAAAGGTAGACTGAGTAAGGCCTGGAGAGTGAAATTCCTTGGGCTTACTACTTCTCTCAAGGAACCAATTAAACACCCCGTTTTGTTGTTTCTAGAAAATGATGGTGTCCAATAATATACTGGGGGCTGTGTTTCTAAATGGAAAACAAGACAAAACAAAACACTTCAAGGCTGGGTTAGGAGCACATGTGTAATGAGATAATAGGGCAAAGAAATCTGGATGGAAGTTAGCTGATTTGACGTCCAGTTTTGCTTTGGCTGGTTATAGCTGTGTGACTTTGGTCAAGTCACGTGACTTTTCTGAGCCTCAGTTTCACCATTTGTGAAAAAGGGATTATAGAAATGACAGGTCACATGTAAACAGGGCTCTTATCAAACATCTTGCATGCATTTTCTTGTTGGAGAAGCAGTGTGGTGTAATGGTAGGAGCAATATGTTTGGAGTCAAAGGGCCTTGCACTGAACCCTATTATCTATGAGACGACCTTGAACAAGTCAGTTCCCAGGTTCCTCATCAGTAAAATAAGATAATATTTGGATAATATTATTTCTACGGTCCATATTGTACAATAGAAAGAGCATTAGCTCCAGAGTTAGATTCCAATCTCACCTCTCATGCTTGGTACCTTAGGCACCTCACCTAACTTACCTGGGCCTCAGTCTCCTCATCTATCCAATGAAAAGGTCAGACTAGATGACTTCTGAGTTAGGCCCCTTGTAGCTCTAAATCTCTGAGCCCTTGATCATTCCAAGAACCCTATTATGTACACTGTGAAAGTACTATCACCCCCATTTTAGAGATGAGGTAACAGCTTTGAGAAGGGATTTCCTCAGAGAAGTAAACTCACATAACACTTGACCTACCTCCCAGGGCTATTGTGAGTGTCAGGTAAGAGTGCATAAGTAAGTGTTCTATCTCAGCAGAGTGCTATTTAAATGGAAATCATCACTATTACTATTGTTAATATCATCATCACAGTATGACTTAGAGAAGAGTGGTAGCTTCTTCCCTGCTTGGATAGATAGACTTCTCAGTAGGAGAGAGGGATTCAGGATAGAAAACATCAGCCCCATATGGCAAATGAAGGAACAGACTGGGAGATGCTTTCATGAGAATAACTGGAAAGTAGGTGGAGACTAGACCCACTATGAGAGGTAGCATAGTGATAGAGAAAGATTTAGGATTTAGGAGGGAGACTTTTGGTCCGTTCTTGTTGCTAATTTACCATGTTAACTTGGGGCAAATTGCCTTGCCCTTATGGGACTCAGTTTTACTGCTCCATGAAATAAGAAGGTTGGATTAGATCACAAGAATTGTTACCCTGGAATATACAGACTCCCAAGGAAACCTTGTATAGATTTTAGGGGGTTTGTGAATTTGGGTGGGAAAAAAATCATCTTAGTTTTCATTAACTTTTAACTGAATTCAGTTATGAATACAGGAAACACACCACCAAACTATTAGGCTTGCCCAAACTACCAAAGGGGACCACTACATGAAAAAGCTTAGGAACTCCTGGACACTGTACTCTCTAAGGACCTTCTCTCTAACATTCTGCACTCTGAGATCCCTTTTTGCTCTGGTATTATCTTATGAAGGTACTTTCTTATTCTAAAGTTCTGTGGATTTCCAAGGCTGTTTCATGGAATCTTGGAATCATGGAATCTTTAAAGGGATCTTGGTGAGTGTTACATGTAGGGTGACTTGACCTTTGCACAGATTGGAACACTTTCTGGCCCAAGAGGGTGTATATGAATGGTGGGGACATGAGGTGCTTGTGGAGGGAGTTGAATTCAGCACAAGAAACATCACCTTGACTGACTGGAAGCATCATTTTGAATCTGTGCTCTGGAGAACCAGTTTCTCCTTGGCTTATCTGCCCTCTCTCTCAGAAGCATGCTGATTCCTTCTTTTATCGGAAGCTGTTTGGGCATTTGCTGTTTTTTCTCTAAAGGGTTGGGAGAGCAAATCTTCATGGTAATACCTAGTGAAACCAGCAGGATGGGAGAGAAGGCTTGGAGCAGTTGCTTCTCTGGAGGGACAAATGGTGAGCTTTATGAGGTCCTAGGACATCACACCCTGGCTCTCCATTCTCCCCTCTCCCCTGGCCGCTAGTTGCCTGCTAATTAGTTTGGTTTTTAACTCCTGAGGCTTTGCTTCTCTTGGGATTTTGCAGGGAGTTTATTTGGAAATAACTGGAGGAATACATGAATGAATTGTCTTTTTCATGATAAATCCTGAAAAAAGCCTTATTGTCTCCCTGTGGCCAGGGTTCTTAACTTGAGGTCTGTGACCTTAAAAAAACACACACACAGAGATATATAGATATATTTACATACATACCTATATATCTGCATGTATGTATTTAAAATTATACTTTAATATAAATGACTTTCTTTGTAGTCCTAGTTATTTTATGCATTTAGAAATATTACTCCAAGAAGGGTTCCATAGACTTCAGCAGACTGCCAAAGAGGTCCATGACAGATAAAAGGTTAAGAGCTGCCTGATGGGGACATCATAACGTTGGCATCTCCCCAGGCTTCAAAGGGGAAGGCTGCAAATAGCCACAGCTAAAATTAGGTGGAAAATAATTCCAGATATGAAGAGGGACCTTATTGATTAAATTGCCAACACTGGAAATAGAAGAGCCTCTTCAAAGCTTGCAAGAAGTAATCACAAGATTTCGGAATTTAGAGGTCACTCGGAGGTAACGTAGCACAATTCTCTCATTTTATTAATGAGAAAATTGAACCCCAGAGAGGAAAGGTAAGCTAAGATCACATAGGGAATCACTGGCTGAGCCAGGGCTTCATGCCCAGGTTTCCTGATGCCCAGTCAGGGCTCATTCTGCTCTGTCTCGTTCTCCCCCTCCCGGTGGGAGCAAAGTATTAAGCTCCTGATGGAAAATTCTGGGCATGATGGAACTGGGCATGGGAAGGGGAAAGTTGGATTTTGGACCTCAATTGGTATGCCTAGCCTAGTGTCCAACTGCCCACTCTCAGAGAGAGGCAGGCCCAAAGCATCCAAGATCTAGAGCCCGTTTGCAAAGAATGAGCAAGAGTTTCCACAATTTTCCATTTAACGGAAGAATTTAAACAAACTTACAGTCTTTACTTAACTGAATTCTCTTGGAATTGAAGTAAATTTCCTCTTGCAGAAGAGGCAAAAAAAAAGTAACAGTTTTGCAAAATCCTCATCTGGACTCTTCATCTCTTTGTGGACTGTGATTAAGCCACCTTGTCACTAAACAAACCGAATTCCCTCCATAACCCCTACTTCCCATTCTTGGAGCATGTTTTCCTAGAAGCTTTCTGTTTCCAGTCCAGCACTATTGATCCTCCACTGAGATATTATGCTGTGTGGAGCACACAGACAGCTTTTCATCCTCGGGGTAGGTACTTGTCATTTTTGTAAGACTGCTGATCAAGATATTGAAGAACAATATCGTACACATTTTGGGGAGATCTCCATCTCCGCAATTTGCCCTGGCCTTGAGGGTAGATTGTAGGTAAGGTGTGCCAGCAAAGCACTGGACTCGACACGAGTTCACTGCTTGCCAACTGCACAAATTCCTTTTAAGAACGATTTTTTAAAAATTAAAAGTAAAATTTTAATTTAAAATGACAATATTAAACAGAATAGTGACTTGTCTCAAGACCATTTCTACCTGAGCCCCACTAGAATAAATAAGAATAACAAGAAAACCACAACACTAACAATGAGAGCATCAGAAACTCGATTTTTCATGAACAGACAAATGATAAATCCACATCCTGAAAATACAGACTTCAAAATATCCTCGAGAACTCAACCAATAAATGGTAATAGAATGATCATAGCATGGCCACAGATCAAATGATTATTCATAATTGCCTGGACATAACATTGATTTATAAAAAAAGAAATAATATTTTTAGTAGATGTCATTATACCACATTATAGCCTTTAAGCTACATGGAATGAGTTGGATTTGGAGTCAGGATGATGTGTGTTCAAATTCTATCTCAGATTCGTCCTAACTGTGTGATCCTGGGCAAGTCATTTAACCAGAGCCTCAGCATCCTCATCTGTAAAATGGAGCGTATAACAGCATCTACCTCCTAGGGATGTGAGGATCAAAGGAAATAAAACATGTAGAGTGTTTTGCAAACCTTAAAACTCTAGATAAATGTTGGCTATTATTATGCCATAATCATCCTCATTTTGCCTTATTTTCCCACTGGCAATATTTGGACTTCATTTATTCATTCTATCTATTTATTCACCATCATTAATTTCTTTAAAATTATTTATCTTTTTATTCATTCATTTGCTTCTTTGTACATTCATTCACTTGCTTATTTATTTATTCAACCATTTATTTATTTATTCATCTGTCTATCCATCCATCCATTCATTAATCTGTCTACTTATTTATTCACCTCCCTTCCATCTTTCCTTCCTTCCTTCCTTCCTTCCTTCCTTCCTTCCTTCCTTCCTTCCTTCCTTCCTTTCTTTCTTTCTTTCTTTCTTTCTTTCTTTCTTTCTTTCT